AAGTCCAACTATATACGGGAAGATTACAAAGTCCTTATGCGCTATATTATCCTCAGAAAGCGATATAATTAAATTTTGAACTAAGATAAATGATTTTTAACATGAACAGCAAAAAAAGTCCTTTGTTTCGTATTTTGTTAAATAGATGGATCCACCTAATATGACCAACACTGGATATTTTTATTATGAGCTGAATATTGGTTATGTAATGCCGCTTCGCGAGGAAAATAAACTACTTCATAAAATTATATATCCAATTAGTGGTACATATGTATATACATATACATATATATGTATATTTATATATATGTTTGTGTATATAATTACTAACGATTATTATTTATGTGTTTGAACTAATGTGATTAGAATGCACTTCACTCTCTTCTAGTTCTACAATTCTCATTTCCTAGTACTATAGAGCATAGCACTTGTACCATTCCATTATACCTAAGTCTTCTTTTCAATTTTTGATTGTTTTCACTCTAGCAGTTTTTCGTTTAATTCTGTTCTTCATAAATAGTTCTCCGCCGACGAAGTTTTTAGCTTGCACACCTGAGCAATAATTTCTTTGCAACTACCATTCTGCCTAATTTCATAAAGTCGGCTCAGATGCAGCCAATCCATCACTATTTGCGATGACCAAGTTCCATACGAGCAGATTATTGATTGATATAACGCCTTAAAAATATTTTTTACAGAACTAAGTCTAATATTATCGTTAACTACGTAATGTAATTCCTAAACTCTTTAGGAAAAAGCTTGATGTGGATAATTTGGTTGCAATAAAAACAACTATAAAAAGCAAACGAAGATAGAACTACTAACTAATAGCAATAATCATTCACAAACTTGAATGTAGCTGGGAAAGGGCCAAGATATATCAGATATTAATAAATTCTCTTTTAAATAAACTGATGCTCGAAGGGAAGAGATTGTTGAATTAAAATAATTGACATCAATTCTTGTCTCATCACCAAAATAAAGATACGAAAACAAGAATTAGTTCTTTGTAGCTACAAACAACAATCCTCAAATACAAAAGCCATCACCATGAAAATAACAAATGGATTGCCAATTCCTTATAAAACGTCACTACAGTCATAACCTTATGAAGAGATCATTACCTTATACGTCCTCTACGCCATTGCTAAGGTTATACTCAGAAGTGTCCGATGTTCATTAGTAGCTAATTTATAATATAAAGAAATAGTTCCAATCGTTAAGCAAAGAATTGATTGGCAAATTGTATTGATAACCAAAGCACTGATCTCTAAACCTTACTAACCTATATAATCTAAGCCTTTGTAAATTTTATCCGATTCAATTGCGAATAAAAAGACATCTGAATTTATAGTTCAGCACATTGTTTATTTCATATAATGAAAACCCATAATAATTAAATTTGGGGGCAATATTCTTTTAACATTTAAATTATTTCGTAACTCCCATATATTAATTTCTTATTTTATATTTAAATTGAGCATAGTCACTTTGGACAATGTATACAGCATACATGATTATTTGGTAAGTAACAGCTAGCGCATGTCTTCTGTTTAACTCAAATAATCCAAATATGGTGAAGGACAACTTTTCTCGACTTAAGTACAAAGCAAAACTTTCACACTGAAAATATTAAACTTAGAAGATTAATTGATTTACAGAACTATAACATAAACTTACCGAACGATTAAAATTTTTATCATTTTGTAGTATCGTATTAAAACTCTGCAACTGATCTGTGGTCTTTCCCGCGATTATGGTTGTATTTTCGCAGAGATTGCCTAATAAATAGGTGTCAGTTAAAAATACTATAAAAGCCATTGACCTCATAAATACACTAGCCGAATCAAATGGCAAATATCCACCGCTAATGAAGTAACTACATAAGGCACACGTCATGACATTATAACCAAAATATGCAATGAATGCGCAACTAATTTCGACATCGTGTATTCTGGTTAATTCTCTGGCCAAGTTTAAAAGTTTCAAATATATTTCGCATAAATCATCTATTTTACTTGTTAATTTTTTAAAATTTCTTTTACTCATCAATTTGTTATCGCTTTCCAGAAACTGATGGATCTTACCAAGATCATTTTTTATTAATTCTAATCTGATTTTTATAAACCAAAGTCCCAAAACGTAGAAATATAATGTGCCATTAAGAAAATAAATATTATTTACATTAATAAGTGAAGTTACAAGCCTTTTCCATTTCTTCTTAACAATTATCAGAGCTAAGGATAATATATTTATTAAGGTATAGAATGAAAGACTAAGAAACTTCCACTGCAGCATGCGGTCATTAAACACCATCGAGACTTCCTTAATGCATAATGTGCCAAGCAAACGTTTCTCTACGGTACAAAATTCATTGCATACTTTCAGTATATTTTGTTCACGTGATTCACAATGCAGAACCAGGACAATTAAAAGTAAGGACTTTGCTAAAGCATTAAATATTTCGATTTGTCTTAAAATTTTAGCATATTTCAAATTTCCGTATTCTTCTATAATCACATATATGAAGATAGGAATTAGACAAAATTTTATAACGTGTCTTAGAAGAATTATTTTCTTAAGAAAAAGCAACTGTATGAATTGTTTCCTTCTCATGTTATAAGTTATTGATATCAAACCACTCCAAATGGAAAGAAAATGCCCGAAATATATAAGCACACGTAATTTTAATTTATTATCCATATTAAACAATAGACTTTTGAATACTGAAAAATGAGGGAAACTTAAAACTTCAGTTTAGTCCAACAAGCACCTTAAGTAATTGATTTCAATAAAATATTTTGAAATGCAATGACAGCTGTTAACGCATAAATATTATAAAAATAAAAATAATATTATTAAAAGCATCATTCTACGCTAATATGATAAAGATCAATATTGTTTTCAAATTCATGTATTTAAGCGCTGTTTCGAGTTGGTACGGTTTGATTACTATTACCACTAACATTTAGTGCATAAAAAAGTAACCGGGTAATGATAATAGATTGTTATGCTTAGATTAAGTTACTTAGGCTGTCTATTTCGACATTAAAAGAGGAAGAAAAGCTCTGCCGCACTGCAATAGAATGGCTTCTTCAGCTTCACATTCACACATAGTAATAATTAAATATTATGAAGTACTTATGAGTACTTATTCCCTACTCTCAAGTATTTTATTATATTGGGTGTAAGAACTGATAGGAGATCAATAAAGTCTCCCTCATTTATTAAATACCCTACATAAGTTTTTTTTTTTTTTTTTTTAAACTTCATTTTATTATATACAATCTATTCTATTCATGAATAATAAGTACTACTTATGGCAATAACAATATATGATTGGCATGTACGGGACTACCCAGTGGTAATCACCGCCTTATGAAGAATTACAATTTCTAGAATCTACTCGGCAAATCAGAAGTTGCGAAGCGTATTAATCTACAAATAAGTGAAACTTTTTTCATTGGAACCTCACTGATTTCTATACACGCATATCAATTTTGTAGTTCCAAAAGTAACTATAATGAAAACACATTTAAAACGGTACTGTCAAATAAGGACCATAAAATGGGTTACTTCTCAGTAATTGCCAAAATCTAAATAGAGGGTTGAGGACTTGACAAACCTCTCCAGTGTCTTTGTCTCATTAAT